TCTAACCATTTTTAGTGTGCAATGCAGTGACATTCATTGTACTTGCAATTTTGTACAATCCTCTCTCAAATGTACTCATCACCATCAAGTCTGAACTGACTCACAGCTGGCCTCCAGCAAGTTTTCAGAAGTTGTAAGTGCAAATCACATGGGATAAGATTGTCCATATTTCTTCCTTGGAATCACGGATGGATTCAAACTGCCAGAGAGGCACCACAACAGTGCAACTCCAGGTGTGTTACACCACCAGAGCCGCCTGTACAATCAGTACCGCTAAGTATTTCCAAGACTTTTTCATCACTCCAAATAGAGTACCATTTGAGCAATCACTCTATCCCACACTTCACACACAGTCTGTCTCTGTCTGTACAAACATGCTTATTCAAGATGTTTTATGTAAAGGGAATCACATATTATGTGTCCTTTTGTGACTGGCTTGTTTCATTCAGCATGTTTTTCAAAATTCATCCAAGTGGTAGCATGTACCCATACTCCATTCCTTTTTAATGACTGAATAATACTCCATTGCATGGATATACCACATTTTATTTATTCATTCTTCAGTTGAGGAACACTTGAATTATTTCTGCCTTTCAGCTGTTATGAATGGTACTGCTACAAGTGTTGTTGTGGTGGTTGTTGTTGTTATTGTTGAATAGACTCTGATTGAAAGAAACCCTATGTACAAATAGATCTAAACCTTGCTCAATCCTGTACCAACCTCACCATCTACTGTGCTTAAGCCCATTGCCGCAGTCGCTTTGTCAATTCATCTCATTGAGGTTCTTTCTCTCCTCCTCTGATGTTCCATCTTTCCAAGCAGGACGTCCGTCTCCAGGGACTGAACCCTCCTGATAATATGCCCAAAGGATGAGAGACGAAATCTCACCATTCTTGAATCTAAAGAGCACCCTGGCTGCCCTTCATCTAAGATTTGTTCGTTCAGAAGAACAAGCAGATGTTAGTTCTTTTGGTATACTCAGTACACTTCACCCACATCACAATTCAAAGGCGTGTTACTCTTGTCTGGGCTCTGTCCTTTGGGGTTTGTAACAGAGACCGACTTTGATTTATTTCTTGCTCTCTGAGATACATTACAGTTCTTGGCATACAGTCAGCACTCAGTAAACAATTGCTGACTAAATAGATTAAATGATAAGGTAAGTATATCTGGGACTCGGGGACCATATTATATGTCTTTTCTGGCTGTTTAACTCCTAGCACAGTCCTGAGCATTAAAGAATATAAAACATTTTAACTCATTTTTAAAGTCTGCTGTTAGGGACCTCTCCAAAGTACTGAAGAGCAATGGTGTCTCCCTGGAGACTAAGGTGCGTTTGATACAGGCCATGGTCTTCACAGTCACTTGTTATGCATCAGAGAGTTGGACAATGACCAAGGAGGATAGAAGGAGAATTGATGCCTTTGAGCTGTGGTGCTGGAGAAGAGTATTGAGAATACCATGGACTGCTAGGAAAACAAACAGATTCGTCCTGGAAAGGGTTAAACTGGGTGGCTTCCTTGGAGGCAAGAATTCTGAGGCTCCGTCTAACATACTTTGGACATGTTGTGAGGAGAGACTGGTCCTTGGAGAGGGACATCATGCTTGGGAGGGTGGAGGGACAGCGCAGGAGGGGAAGGCCCTCTATGAGGTGGATTGATTCAGTGACTGGGATAATCAGGATGGGAGTGTCGGAGACAGTGCGATTGGCACAGGACAGAGCAGAGTTTAGGGCTGTTGTACATAGAGTTGCTATGAGTCGCAAGCGACTCGACGGCACATAACAACAACAAAAAACAGCTCATTTTTAACTCACCTCATTCATAGTGAGGAATGAGCAGGATGTGGAGAGGGCAGGCTGGAACGAATTGAGGGCAGATCCTTTCTTCGGGCTTAAAGATCTGGGTTGGCCAAGTCTGAGAGCCCATGAGGGCAAATCTGGAGCCCACGGGCAACTTGGGTGGAGAAAGATAAGAAGGGGAGAATTAAATGAAGCAGGATGGCTGAAAAGGAGAGGGACAAAAGAAGAGAAGAGGAAGAAGGCTTTTAGACCTCCCATAAAACAGTGGGCCTGAACATGGCAGAGGGTGGGCAAGGATTGGACAAGGTTTCAATCTGCTCTTCATAAGGTCAATAGACTCAATGACACTTAACAACTGCAGCTGTGGCCTGCGACAAAATCAAGTGGCCTTTATGAGGACATCTCTTCATATAAGCACTTACTGGGCTCTTTCTGTGCGTTGGCGGTATGATAGGCCCTCAGGATACCCAAGGTAAAGAACACATGCCCCTTTCGGTCCACTCTGGTGTGTGAGCACAGCTATGTGAACACCTAAGGTTGCCCACACTCACTGGACACCCAAGGGCTGTACATGGGAATGTCCACGTTAGTCTTAGAGATCAGAGCAGCCTTCCTTGATAAGCAAGCACTTGAACTTTATTATGAACACATTTAATAAATCTAGGAATCTCCAATAAAACTTCATGGGGACAGGAAGAGAAAAGACTGGTTTGGGCCTTTGCACAAACATACTGAGCTGTCCAAACCACCAATAGGTCTTCGAAGTGGAAAGACTTTGGGAGACAAAGAGGAGAAGGGAGCACAATGGTGAAACTACCGAGGAAGGTTTCCAGCCACGGGCAAGCACCCTGACTAACTGGAGTGGGGCGTTCATGTCAAGGGGAAGCTGAAAGTGGAGAAGAGGAAGCTGTGGACACACACCCAGAAAGTCAGGACTAGCAGGGAGGAAGTTCTAGATAAAACAAACTCTGCAGGAGGGACTTGTAGAGAGAAGAGATGGAGAGGGGGGAGTCCAAGATGAGTCCTGGGCTCCGGGTATGGATTCCCAGGTTCTCTGAGGTGGAAGAAACAGAGCTGGGGGAATGATGAGTCTCCTGCACCTGTGGGTTCAAGGTGGCAGAGCACAGCTGGTGTGTGAGGCTGAAGTGAGAGTGGTCTCAGCTGCAGGGCCAGGCTTGAAAATCATCAGAATATACCACTCATGATAACCACGACATGTCCAATATGGCCCAAGGGGAACCCAAGGGAACAAGCCAGTGAGTAAGGTGCGAATAGAGAAAGAAGCCCCAAATTCAAGAAGATTCTGAGAGGCAGGGAGGAAATGAATGCAGAGACAACAAGGAGAGGGGTCTGCTCAGGGGAGGTCGCTCACTGAACTAGGGCACCAGGGCTTCCAGCCACACAGTTTGGGAAGGCTGAACCTTGTCATGAGAATCAGAATTAGAAGTTATGGGTCAAAACTGAGCCGATTGGCCTGTAGGGAGCAGGGAGCCACAGCTTGAAGGTAGTATACTTATCCTGAGCCGTACACCTTAAGTGTTCTTTCAGACTACCCTTAACCAGGCCGTCCCAGAGCCCTCTGTGTCTATTTCTCGTTCTGGCTCTACTCTTGACCCTACTGCATCCCATGTTGTCTCAACTGTTAGCCATAGTATAGGGTACTGACCTGAAGATTGACCACCCGTAAGATGCTTACCCACTCCTACGTGTGTCTGGTTTGTGACATTTGTCCATGTTGGCTGGACACCATTGTTTGTGAGTTATTGTGTCCTCTGTATTTGTCATTGTTGAATTTGTGTACTCTGGTGGCCGACTCATGTCTCTATGTCCTAATTAAGTGGATGCTGTTCCAGGTCCTAATCTGGTTACCCAATCAGTTGAACCATGCCCACTCACCCCTTCCCTCAGCCCTAAATCAGGCCACTGGTAGATGGCATCTTAGAAACCAGACCAGAATCAAAAATACATTTGCAAAAGCCAGGAAACTTTATTGACAGATGTTTTCATTTTAGTAAAGAAGTCGAGAAATCAAAGGTGGTTGGGTTGGAGAGTAAAAGCTGACCAGAAGAGAGGAGCACTCAGGAACCTCTCCAGAGAGTGGAGACAGTGGGGACCCTAAAAGTGGGGTGTGGAGCCACGCCTCCTGTAGTCTCTTTCTCCTGCAGGAAGTCGCCTGCTTGCTTCTCCTCTGGGTGCCGAAGGCAAGGGGACAGTGTGCTAGGTGGATTTAGTTTCTTCGACCATCGGAAGTACGGCGACCAGAGGGGTTAGTGGAGGTGGGGGAAGTGGTGGAAGTGGTGCCTGAAACATAAAAGAGAGGAGAAATATTCAGTTAGAAAAGATCCCTTTGGGCCAGGTCAGAACCCCCAAGTGGGGGTCACAAACCTTGATTAGTCAAATAGTATGTTCACGGGGGACAGTCTTTTATTGTCCCCAAAAGTGGTTCCCTCAGGACAGCCCAATAGCTCTTAAGGTCAGAAAGAAAACAGAAGAGCAAATGATCGCTCCCACCCCAGCTCCTCCTTCCCCTCTAGTTGGGGATTCAGCACCATCTCCCCACCCAGAGCCATGAATAGAGCCTGACCCACCTCCCCTAGGGCCCTTCCTTACCTCCGCTGGTGAAGCCAGTCATCCTGGGAGAGAGGAGAGAGGTAGCAATGAACAGAAGGTAAACAAGAGCGAGTGCCTACCTATCTTCAGAGGGGGCTTATGTCATTAGTCGGAGCCCCTATTTGAGCTTTTCCACCCAACTATGTCCCCAACCCAGAGTCATCAGCCCACCAGGTATGTCTGTCTAATTTCAGGGCAATTTCCAGAAGCTTTTCCTGTCCCTGGTTCATTGCGTACCCCTGAGCCTCACTGGATGGTTGAGTCCTTGCAATTGACTGAGCTGAATCCATGCTAACACTTTTCTGATCTCACATGCCCTCTCCATAGTCCCTCTTCTTCCCGTCCAATTCAGAGGCGCTGAATAGAGAGCTTCAAGATTTGGAAGCTGCAGCCTGTTCAGGAACCACCACCCGAGTCTGACTGAGTTCAAGAGGCTCTGGCCCTGGATTTTCCAGCCAGCAGAAGCTCAGACAGATCCTTCCTCTGGGTGAGTCTCATCCCAAGCTCTGTGACATGAAGACTTGATCTCTGGGGGTCCCCTGGGCTAGCCCAGGGCCCACTGTTGCTTTCCCGAGAAGCCTCGAGGACCTACTTGGCATCCTGGCCCTCGAGCAGGCTGCGGTAGGTGGCGATCTCCTGCTCCAGGCGCGTCTTGATATCCAGCAGCATCTTGTACTCTTGGTTCTGGCATTCCGTCTCACTGCGGAGATCGCTCAGCTGCTGCTCGATGCTGCCGATGAGCCCCTGGATCTGCTGCAGCTGGAGGGCGTAGCGGCACTCCGTCTCTGCCACTGTGCTCTCCAGACCGGCTTTCTGGAGGGACAATGGAGCAGAAGTCAAGAAAGGAGCCAGGCCAGAGGGAGGCGTCGAGGGGATGGCCACACACAGGACGCGGAAGGAGTACCATGCTGAGCTGGGACTGTAGTTCGATTTCCAGGCCCTGGAGTGTGCGCCTGAGCTCTGTGATCTCTGTCTTGCTGGTCTGGAGCATGCTGGTACTGGAAGTCACCTCCTTGGTCAGCTCTGCACTCTGAAAGTCAAGCAGAGGAAAGGTGATAGAAGAGCCCAGATATAGGACCATAGTCAACAAGTGACATCCACCAGACACCATCTGACCCTGTGGGTACCTTGTTGTGGAACCATTCCTCGGCGTCCCGGCGGTTCTTCTCTGCCAAGGCCTCGTACTGCTCCCTCATCTCGGCCAGCACCCGGGTCAGGTCAATGCCTGGAGTGGCATCCATCTCCACGTTGACCTGGCCTACAACCTGGTTGCTGAACTCCTTCATCTCCTGTGGGATTGGGACAGAAAGACACATGAAGTTCCTTGATCTTCCTCCCCTTGACTCTGAATATTGTGGAAGCATCTGGAAAGTCCCTCCAAGCCCCAGAGCACTCCCCTTTCTCACCTCTTCGTGGTTCTTCTTCATGTACGCCAGCTCCTCGTTCAGGCTCTCGATCTGCATCTCCAGGTCAGTCTTAGACAGGGTCAGCTCATCCAGCACCCGGCGCAGGCCGTTGATGTCGGCCTCCACGCTCTGGCGCAGGGCCAGCTCATTCTCATACCTGAAAGATGAAGACAAAATTTCTTTCAGCACATAAGTGATATTTAACACTACCCTTCCCCCGCACTAGATCCTGCTGTTTCTCTAAGACTTTTGCTCCTAGAATGCCCCCAATTCACTTATCAGCTGTACATTTGCCTAAAAATCAGAGACTGTTGGAGCAAATGAACAAGGGAGACCGACTTACTTGAGCCTGAAGTCATCCGCGGCCAGCCTGGCGTTGTCGATCTCCAGGATGACCCGGTTGTTGTCGATGGTGGCTGCCAGGATCTGCAAGATACGGAAGAGGGTCACCCCAGGAGGCCCAAAGCAAGAGGAGGTAGACTGATGAAGCATGACCCCTCTGGACCTCAGATCTAAAGAACAGATCTAAGTACCCCCAGGATGTGCATTGCAGGGACCTCTTTGAGTGGTCTCATCTTTATACACTCACATGAGCAACCACTCTGGACCTCCTGTCTTGAGAACCTTCTTTTGAGATTCAGAAGGGGCTGATCCAGGCTCCACATATTTAGTAAGAATTGAATTGGAGTCCATCTCCCAGCTTAGTATAGGTGAATGCCAGCTCATGTTCTCCTCTTCCGTTTGAATTCCTTTTCTAAGCTTTTCTTTTGCAAAGCACTCAAAAGCCATTCCACCTGGCCGAGGCTCAGCCCAGACTGGTGGATCTTTGTTCCAACAAGCTGGCAGCAGTGCTGATGGACAGGCCGTGACTGAAAGAATGCAGCCTGAACACCACCTCAGCCAGTGGCCCCCATCCTCCCCACTTGGTTGTCACCAACTGAGAATAACAATTTAAACAATGGGGTTACTATAAAACACACAGTTACTTCCAGACCAATGATTGAACATGTAGCGCTTTCTCTGTTGACTTTAGATGTTCTTAGTGGCTTTTAAAACTGTCATGGTTTCCAAACAACTGCAGGTTAGCATTAGAGCGATGGGGTCACTAATGGCATGACTGTTTGCACAGCAATAAGTTGTTGACATGAGTAGCATTAACAGCAAAAATGGGAGAAAATACATGTAGGCCACTGTAGCAGGAGGGAGCCCATCAGGAGTAGACGGTGGAGAGTAAAAATCTAGACTTTTCTCCTGCAAGAGGGTGAGAATTCCATCATCACGGCCTCTGTGGGTTCCCTGCGATGCTGCTGCTTTCTGCCTTCCTGGGCTGCCCTGCCCTGAACCCTCCTCTCTGGCCCTGCACTCACCTTCTCCCTGAGCTCATCAATGAGCTTGTAGTAGTTGCTGTAGTCTCGCTCCGGGCTGGATGGGCTCTGCTTCAGGTGCCAGTCCCGGATCTTCGCCTCCAGCTCGGTGTTGGCCTCCTCCAGGGCGCGCACCTTGTCCAGGTAGGAGGCCAGCCGGTCGTTGAGGTTCTGCATGGTGATCTTCTCATTGCCGGAGAGGAGGCCACCATCGCCACCACCGAAGTCACCGAAGCCACCGCCGAAGCCACCGCCGAAACCACCGCCGAAGCCACCGCCGAAGCCACCTCCGAAGCCACTGCCAGCACCTCCACCGAAGCCACAGCTCATGCCACCTCCATAGCCCCCAGCTGAGCCCCCAGAGACGAATCGAGTTGAGCAGGAGGAGACATTGCGGCTTCCTCCCAGCTGGCAAGAGCCACCACCAAAACCACCTCCGTAGCTGGCAGAGGAGCCCTGCAGACGGCAACTCATGTTGAGCTTGATGGAGATGGCAGACAGGTGCAGACGAGAGCTTGACTGGGCCTGGGCCAAGGATGGTGGCTCTACCCCGGAGTGGACGCTTTTTATACACCCTCCACGGGGCTGGGACAACCACCCCATCTTCTCCCCTCCCCTCCCCACCCTTGAACTTGATGCCAACTGCACCTCTGATTCCCACAAGCCCAGCCGCCTCTGCTCCCCAGGGTGGGTTGTGCCTTTTGGGGGGGTGACTTTTTTTTTTAAATCCTTAACAAAAGGGATGATTCAGAGGGAACCGTGTTCTGCTTGAGATTACCCTTTTGACAATTGAATTCTACTTAACCTTCCACTTCGGGTGCATAGTTCCACAGGCTCTCAGCCCCACCCTGCATGAGCACGAAGATGAGATATGAAAGTCTGCCAGGGAGACTCTCAGAGCAAGGGGTGACCCTGTGCGGAGCAGCCTTGTGCTTACAGGGAGCTGCAGCCCCTCAGCCTCCTTTTTTCACTTTTGAAAACTTCTCACAAAGTGCCCTGTAGCCTTCTTGGTATTCTATCACCTCCAGTGCTCCCAAAAACTCTGATAATGGCAGACTTTGTTCAGTGTTATAGAATCAGCCTTCTTACAGATGTTTAGATTGATGAAAACATGGCTCCAAAACCAGTTGCTGTGTTGTTGTTGTTGTGTGCTATTGAGTTGCCTGAGACTCATAGCAACCCTGTGTACAACAGACCTAGGCCCTGCTCTGTCCTGTGCATATCTTGTCTCTGACACAGCTACCCCCATTACCCCAGTGACTGAATCAATCCATCTTATCGAGGGTCCTCCTCTCTCACACCGTCCCTCCACTCCCCCCCCCCAAATATGATGTCCCTCTCCAAGGACTGGTCCTTCCTGTAACATGTCCAAAGTATGTCAGACGAAGCTTCAGAATCCTTGACTCCAAGGAGCAGTCTGGTCTCACCCTCTCTAGGACAAACCTGTTTGTTCTCCTAGCAGTCCATGGTATATTCAACACTCTTCTCTAGCACCACAGTTCATAGGCATCAATTCTCTTTCTATCACCCCTCATCATTGTCCAGTAAGGGGGAAAAATAAATAAATCCCAGCAACTAAGGACCTTAGAGGCCATCTGACACAGTGAGGGAAACTGAGGCACAGAATGAGGAAGCAACATTGCACAGTATATAATAGCTTGTATTCTCAGAGCCCTTGCCACATGCAGGCACTGGAGCTGTCTCATTTAATGCTTGCAACAGCTCAGCAAGGTGGATCTCACTATTCTATCCATTCCCTTCCCATTTAAAGGTTGAGGCAAGACTGAAATTTGTGCTCGCTTCGGCAGCACATATTCTAAAATTGGAACGATACAGAGAAGATTAGCATGGCCCCTGCGCAAGGATGACACGCAAATTCGTGAAGCGTTCCATATTTTCGACCCTGAAATGAACCAGTCTCTAACGAAGGCTGACTCCTAACTCCTTTCACCTACAAATTTCGTCTTTGGATACACAGCTAAGTGGAGAGTCCTTACCGAGGGACTGTTTCAAAAGAGGCAGGGAGAAGAAGAGAGAAAAAAAAAAGACTGAAATTTGAGTCCAGTTCCAAAGACTCATGTTTTTAGGTATATATTTCACAAATTGGAAGCGTCAGATTCAGGTATATGTTTTAAAAATCAGAACCGTCTACTTCAATGCATTTTTAACAATGTATGACTTTTCAGCCATGTGTTAACCTATACAACCACCATCCCGAACCTTCCCAGCACTTCAGAAAGTTCCTTGTGCCCTTTCACAATCAAATGCACACCCGCCCACGCCAGAGCTGACCACTGCCTTCTCTCACGAGAGGTTTGTTCGTGGGGTTCTACACTAGGAGCAATTTTGCTCCACGATGAGAAGCATTTGGCAATGTCTGAAGATGTTTTAAGTGGCCCTAGTGGTGCTGTAGGTAAGGCATCTGGATGCTCACTGAGATGCTGGGGATTTAAATTCACAGCTACTCTGCGTGAGAAATTCCTGGCTCTCTGCTTACTCAAGGACTGTGATAGTAGACGCAGTGTGAGGCCATGAGGCCGTTTGTTCTGCTTTGTTCTCATGAGTCAGAACTGACTTGACAGCAATGAGTTAGAAATATTTTGATTGTGGCAAATTGGGGAGATGGGAAGATGTCAGGGTGCTACTGTTATCTAGAAGATGAAGACGAAGAATGCTACTACACATTCTCTAGGGCATAGAGTAACCCATCACAACAGAGTTATCCAATCAAAAGATCAATAGGTATCAAGGGTGAGAAGGTCTAAATTCATTTCCAACCCAGGCATTTTAACTAACTGCCTGAGATGCTCAGTCAAGTTCTGAAGGAAGGTCATGCAATACCCTTTCTGGTATCCCAATCACATGTCATCTGTCACAGCTTATGAATGTTTGGCCTGAGAGGTCACACATGAGGATATGGGGCTGTGGTTGGGGCCCTGCTGAAAAGCTGGAGTGTGACTGAGACACCCTCAGTGGCTGCTCAGGGACCCTAGTCGCAGAGTCCTCACCACGAAGTAAAGGGCTGGAGCTGGACTTTCAGAGCCCAGGAGAGAAGGAGCAGATTCTAGGGTTGACAGTACAGGTCCTTGCATTGGCTTCCAGCCCTCCGCCATCACAAGACCAGGAGCTGGACTCTCAGGAGAAACCTTCTGGTCCAGGCAGCCCAGGAGGGTCTGATGCTACAGCCAGAGGCTGGGCTGGTGGAGCATAAGTATGCGGTTGTCCTGGAGATTTCTTTGCTAATTCACCAGCTAGAGCAGAAAATAGAGAACTGAGTCAGGGATTTCCTGTCCTCTGTCTTCAGTGTGTAGGAAGGGGGCTTGTGCTCACCCAGCAGGTTGAGCAGCAGGGAGAGGGCCCAGGCATGCAGCTGAGGGGGGCTCAGAGACCCAGGACTCACTTGGCCTGACCCCAGCCCCTGCCCAGGCCTCTAGCCCAATCTGATGGCTCAGCTCTCCTTCTGAAAAGACATGATTCAGCCCAAAGCAGGAGCTCACCCTCTTGGTAAATGATCAAAACTGACAGGAGGTGATTAATGGAACCTGCCAGGCCTGGGTGACGGTGTCCCAACCCTCCCAGGGCTGACAAGCAGGTTCAAGCCAACGCCTCTTAGAGGAACAATGCCACAGATCCTCCAAAGCCCCAGCAGAACAAGCAAGGTGGCCAAGCATGTCACCTCTCCCAGGGTCAAGACTCACGCTGCCTGACACAGGAATGACACCCTCTGACCCCTGGGGACCTGCTGGGCTGGGGACACACATCAGCCCTCCAGGAGAAGGCTGTGCCGAGGGGAGGCCAATGGAGGCACGTAGGTGCTGGGCACAGCTAACACGCCTAACATTTCCTGCTTTGCTTTTGAACACATTAACATCCAATTTAGACCCCTTCCCAGGAATGCTGCATGGTCCAGGCAAGCAAGACCCTCACATCAATGGAGATGGGTTTGGATTAGGCCCATTGTACAGATGGGGCAGGTGAGACTCAGGAAGGGAAGCCTACTTCCCCAGGTCACCATGAAGTCAAGCTTTAAACCTGGGTCCTATACACTTGGGCCCAGGTTTTTCTTTCTACCACACATGGTGGCATCTCAGAGACTTTGTCGTGGACACAGGCAAATGATCTCTAAGGGTTCATTCCACATGTTAAGCGATGATAAAAAATATCAAATGCCAACCTAGTTCAGTACCGTCAAATTTCCACTCACAGCGGCCCTGGGGAACAGAGTAGAAACTGCTCCACAGGGTTTTCAAGGCCAGAAATCTCCTTAGACAGACTGTCCTCATCTCTCTCAAAGATACCAACAGCTAACGTGCATGGAACGTGTGTGGTGCGATGTGTCATGCTCTCTCCATGCGTGATTTTCTTTCAAAACCACTCTATTTTTATCATGCTGCTTTTTCAGATGAGTAAACAAGATGAGAGGCCAACAGAGGTGAAGTGTTTTGTCTCTGAAGTATTTGTTGTCCCTTAAGTATTTTCCCCCTAAAGTATACCAATTCACCTTTGCAAGCATGATGTCCCTCTTCAAGGACTAGCCTCTCCTAACAGCATCCTTCATCAAGAAAAAAAAAACACATTCTCACCACCAGACTGATAGGCAACATTATGATAGAAGAAGAAAAGAAACTGTTCATGATTTCATCTTCCTTGGATCCACAAGCAATAAATACACTTGGGACCAGCAGTCTGGAAATAAGAAGACCTATTGCACTGGAAAATTCTGAAGTCAGGGATCTCTGTGAATTACTGAGGAGCAACAATTAGTTTGAGGACTAAGGCGCACATGATTCAGACCATGGTCTTTTCAGTCCCTTCACTTGCTATGCTGCTGAGAGCTGGAAGTGACTTCAAAGGCCATGGCCTGAATCAGGCACTTGGAAAAGTGGAGGGTGAACAAAGGAAAAGAAAAAGAAAACTCTCAGCCAACCAGATGGATTGACACAGCGACTGCTGTAAGGGGCTCAAGGATGTCAGACACGTCGAGGGTGGCATAGGATAGAGCAGTGTTAGAATCTATTGTTCACAGAGTCGCTATGAGTCATACTCAACTCCATGGCACCTAACAACAATAAAATATTTTTATTATTGCAAAGCTCAAATATATCTAAAGCCAATATTCAAATTTTGGGGCTCCAGAAGCTGTATCTTTAACTATGGCTTGTAAACTCCTTTCAGACCATGGTCAGTGCCGTCCCCGTTAGCAAGGCATTCTCTATCTCCCTCTTCAACCTCAGGCCTCCCTGTCCCTCTGCCTGACCCAACTCACAGACAAGTCTGCTTCTCACTGTAACTAAGGCCTGGGCAGCTGGTAACCTGTGTACTATGCGTCTCCAGTGAAGCCCCAAAATCCAGCACTTAAAGACTTTTTATAGGAACTTTCAAATCTATACCTGGGGAAACCAAGGTTAAAAATGCAGAGGCCCAGAAGAGAG